ACACACACACACACAAAATGGGCAAAATGGCAAGAAATCACGGGGTAGGGGTGGAGCGTGGTGACTTGAGAGGGAGGTAAACAGGCGAGGCTGAGACAGGAGCGTCTAAGTGGTGCTGGGGGCGGGGCAGCTCCTCTTAGCCCAGCTCAGGGCCTCCGTTCCTGCCGGGCAGAGCTGCAGAGCACCAGGGCTGGCGGGGACCTCGGGGAGGCCTTAAAGGAATCCTGACACTGCCTTGTTTTTAGGATCTTCCTTAGCAAATATGGTAAGGGACACAACAAAAATAAAACATTCTAAGAACCCATCCATCTGCATGGACTTCCTCCCCAGTCAGGGCTCTTTTAAAATTTAACCCAAAAGACTGTTTCAGGACAGGATGGGAAGTGGGTATCAGACGTGCCTCATTCTGCCTCTCCGGCATCAACATCGACACAGGCTTTAAGTCTGACAGGAAACATTTTACGGCCTGTTCTCTCTGAAGCTGCTACCTGAAGGTTTCCTCTGCAAATAAGAACTTGGGTCTCCACAGTCCTTTATCTTAACCCAGACATTCCATTCAGTTGATCTCAGGTCTTTAGACAAATTCAACCAATTGTTAACTAGAAAATGTTTACATTTACCTACAGTCTGGAAGCCTCCCGCTTTGAGTTGTCCCCCCTTTCTGGACCAAACCGATGTATTTCTTAAATGTATTTGATTAATGTCTCGTGCCTCCCTAAAATGTAGAAAGCCACACTTCACCCCCACCACCTTGGGCACATGTTCTCAGGACGCCCTGAGGGCTGGGTCACGGGCCACACTCATATTCGGCTCAGAATGAATCTCTTCAAATATTTTACAGAGCTGGACTCTTGGGGGACACCATGTAGAGGCCCTGACACATAAGCATCAGCTGAGCAACGTCATCTCCGCTTCAGGGATGAAGGTTTGAGCTAGAGAGATGAGTGACTTCCTCGTGACCCTACTGCCCCCGAGGAGCAGGTGAGGACGAGAAACCGGGCTCAGTACTTCCCGGCCAGTCTCTGTCTGCTTCCATAGGCTGCCGGGCTCTGGAGCACGTCTGATTAGTGTTCAGGGCGGTACGCCGGGTCACAAGACTCTATAAGTTCCTTCCTTAGCCTTCACTGTTCCCACTAACAGGAGCTAAGGGCAACTGGAGGGGTGCTCTGCTCAGCCTCTGCTTGTTGGAGGGCTGAAAACAGACACAGGAGAGGTGACCGAAATTAGGACATCGGGTTGCTCCAGACAGGCAAAAGCTGAAATGGCCAGGAGGACAGGAGCCCCTTACACCATTCCCTGGGGTGTGGGGCACGCCTCTAGTTTGTAGGGCACACCCATGGCGGCCGTGACAGTGGCTGCAGCGGTAGCAACATGAGTGTGGGGAACCGTGTGGCATTCTCAGGCACTCCCTGCTGGCCAGAAGCTTTGTGCAGTAAACATTTCCTGGAGCTGTTCTTGCTGCCAATTATGTGCCAAAAGGAGGCAAACAAAACTACCACCAAGCACCTGGAGTCTGACCCCAAAGGGTGGCCTTCACCTGTGCTGTATTCACCAGGCCGACGTTCCCCAAAATCAAATTCCCTGTCTAATTGCAACACTTTCACGCCATGGAAGACACTTAAAAGAACACGCCAGATGACACCAAATGCTGGGGAGGATGCAGAAAGGAGGGCCCTCATGCTCTGTCATGGCTCACACATGCAGCAGCTCCGTACAAAACTAACTGAGCCGAGAGAAATAAAACCTCCTGTTCATGCAAAAACCTGTTCGTTAATAGTTACCACAACTGTAGTCATAATCGCCAAAAACAAGGAAAAACCCAGATGAGCTTCAATAGGTCAGTGCTTAACAAACCGTGGTGCGTCATGCCATGGAATGTCCCACAGCAGCAAAGAGGAACCGGCCACTGACCCGCACACGTGGCGGCTGGAACCCAAACTTGAAAATGAAGCAGCAACTCAACCTCCAGGGAATCAAGCTAAGTGAAGAACACCAGTTATCAAAGGTTACACTGTGTGACTCCATTTATAGAACCTTCTCCAAATAACAATACAGAGATAGAGTACAGATTCGGGGTGGCCAGGGGCTAAGGCCTCAGAGGGGGAAGGAAGGTGGCTGTGGCTATAAATATAAGGTAGCACAAAGGACCTAGGGTTGGAATTGTTCTGTGCCTTGACTCTGGTGGTGGCTACACAAACCCACACACACAGTAAATGGCATAGAAGCCAGTGTTCACACACAAATGCATATAAACAGGTGGAATCTGTGTAAGTGCAGTGGGCTGTATCAATGCCAGTTTCCTGTTTGTGATACTGTACAATAGTTATGCAATGTTACTCTTGGGGAAAACTGGCTGAAGGATACATGGGATCTCTCTGTTATTCCTACAACTCCATGTGAATTTACAACCTCAAAATAAAAAGCTTAAGAAAAAAAAGAATATGCAATAATATATTGGATAACAAAATAGAATTCAAGAAATGCTTTAAACAATAGAGGCAAAATCAGAGTAAACGGCATTCCAAGGTAGATAGTTCAAGATAGTTGAATTTGCCTGTTTAATATGAACAATTTCTTTTGTTTTGTTTTTTGTTTTGTTTTGTTTTGAGACAGAGTCTCACTCTCTCACCCAGGCTGGAGTGCAGTAGCATGATCTCAGCTCACTGCAACCTCCGCCTCCCAGATTCAAGTGATTCTCCTGCCTCAGCCACCCAAGTAGCTGGGACTACAGGCACATGCCACCACATCCGGCTAATTTTTGTATGTTTAGCAGAGATGGGGTTTCGCCATGTTGGCCAGGCTGGTCTTGAACTCCTGACCTGAGGTGATCCATCCACCTCGGCCTCCCAAAGTGCTGGGATTACAGGTGTGAGCCACTGCACCCAGCCTTCAACAACTATGTTCATAAGTGTATGTACATACAATGCAATGTAACATTACAATCTAATAATTGGTTCCCCATGACACACACCCGTGTGGCCTGTCTTTGCATACAGTGTATGTGACAGTGTCTGCACAAGGTGGGAAGTTGAGAAGCAGTCTGACAGCTCCTTGTCCCCAGGGAGGGCCAAGGCCAACGTCCCTTTTCTGAGCTCAGCTGTCTCTGCACATCCCAGCAGGACTGTCATCCTCTACACATGCTAACCTCCCTAACATGACCACTGACCTGCACAGAGTCTCACTCATCTGCTCCCTGGTGCCAGTGTCTCCTGCAATGTGTACACACATTAACACATACACACATGTGCTCACATGTGCACCACACAGATGTGCACAAATGTCTATTTGCTGGGGATGTGGCCATGATTTGAAATGTGGAACAGTGCAGTGTGGTTTGCCCAGAGATCCTGCATTCGGGCAGGCAGTGACAGCACAGAGGCAATCACTCCTGGGGACTTTGGGACTCTCCATCTGCCTCCCCTTACTGTGCAAGACTGGCTGTGATTTTAATACTCAGAGCATCTCCGCAAGAAGAAATATCCACTGGTAGAAGCACAGCAAGTATACAAATAATTCCACCAGCCGGGCGCAGTGGCTCACACCTGTAATCCCAGGACTTTGGGAGGCGGAGGTGGGCGGATCACAAGGTCAGAAGATCAAGACCATCCTGGCTAACATGGTGAAACCCCGTCTCTACTAAAAATACAAAAAATTATCCGGGCATGGTGGTGGGCGCCTGTAGTCCCAGCTACTCCGGAGGCTGAGGCAGGAGAATGGCGTGAACCCGGGAGGCGGAGCTTGCAGTGAGCCGAGATCACGCCCCTGCACTCCAGCCTGGGAGACAGAGCGAGACTCCGTCTCAAAAATAAATAAATAATAATAATAATAATAATAATAATAATTCCACCACAAACTGATACACAGAGAGCATCCGGAGCCACAGACAGCCTGACCTACAGCACTGCTCTCCTCCACACCTGACGGAGGAAACCTGAGCTGGTCCTCGGTCCCCGTTCCAAACACCATCTCATAAGCGCATCCCTCTTCAGTTCCTCTAATAACAATTAATGCCTGCTCCTTCCGGGGCCACAGCGCACAGTCCGTAATGATTTCGGGTGCATCATGGCTGGTCCCACCCACAGTTAGCTGTGTACATGCAGGGTCTCCCCATGGAGATCATGACTCTCGGAGGCCGGGTCCTCTAACTTGTCACCTTGGTGTCCCTGGAGCCTGGCAGGGTTTGTGTAGCAGGTGTTTAATAAGTATTTGTTGTATTAAATTGATTTAATTGGTAGAACTGACTAGACAGAAGTCACTGTACAAACGATGAGTCTCTTGCAGACACACACGCATGTGCACATGTTACTGCATTAAGTGAGACGATCACTATCATTATTGTCAACACTCATAACAACATTATGCCCCCGCAATCTCCTTTAGAAAATGTGGCTTCTTAATTTTTACCAAGGCCTCAGGGCCTTCAGAGAGCAGCTCTGACTGCCGTGGAGAGGTCCCTGGGAACGACCAGTGGGTGGACACAGCCAGGCCTCCAACCTCATGAAGCAGCCACTGGCCAGGGAGCCACGTGAATGACACGCCACATGCCGTACAGGGGCGGGCTCGGGCACGCAGCCCCATATGCACACTGTGCATTCATGCTTTGTCCACAGGAGGAAGGGATTATAGGCTGCAACCTGAAGTGGTAAATAATTTACGTGCGAGTATGATTCGACGCACACTGACCAAGCTGAAAAGCCACACAGCACCCGAGGGCAGTACGGCGCCTGACCCTTTACCCTCTGGCAGGTCCCCGTGGGCAACACTCCTCTGAGATGAAGAGGAGAAAGAGGGGATGCAGGCGCGCTTGCTACATTTCCGTCAATGTGGCTAATCTGGAAAGCATGGGGACTAAAATTAAAAATCAAATGCTAGCAGCTTGTTAAAAGAAAGGAGCGTTTTTGAAGCGTGGATGGTGGCTCCTGCAAAGGAATCTGCACAAGCTCCTGCACCTGGCCAACCTGCAGGCTCATTCTGGGCGCATGAAATATGCAAAGTCCTACCAGGCCATGTTGCTGTGGGCTGTGTTGTCAAGGTGACAGAGCAGCTCCAGGGTCTGCGCCGTGCTGGATGAATCATCGGGGGACTCGTGGCTGCCTGATTCCAATTCCTTCGGCATCCTCCACACGGCTGCACATGTCAGGACTTTGCTGTCTGAAGCTGAGCAACAGAGCATAATGGATAATGTCAACAGAGCACGGTGTGCCCCGCATTCTGCAGACAGCACACCCACATTTACACAAATCCATAAGCAGGGCGCATCTGCTCTTTAAAATATTTATGACTGCAGGCAGCAAAGACAGATCAGGGAGAAGCACAGCCTGAGTCGGCAGGCAGAACCCGGCACGGTCCGTCATCGGCATCCTGTTCGCTCACTTTCTCTTTGTTTTAAACACCATCATGCTGTTTCAAAAGAAAATTTAATTCCCTCAAAATCGATTTCCTTCCGTTCTTCTTCAATAGTTCTTCAAAAAAGGGAGTGAAATGGGGGACTAAAGATATAATCACCACACATGCAGCTGGTGTCTAAGGTTGGCATTAAATGGGTGTTCTCCCCATAGCTGTATGAGATCACCTTAAATGACTATTAAGCACACTGAGCAATATTCCATTTGGAAATCCTGTCACTCATGTTATTCTGCCTCAGTTTACCTAAAGTGATGAGTGTCTGGGACTGGAAGGTAACGCCATTCAGAGGCATTGCAGGCTGAGGCCTGGAGCCCCGGCACACAACAGGCAGCAGCCCCGCCTCACCGTGTCATCAATACAGCCCCTTCTCCTAGAAATGGGAGTCCCATCCTTACGTGGGCCTGCTGGTGGCTGTTCGGTCTCCCTGAGTCTTGACACTTTTTATTTTTAAGATGCTCCAGGAATCTAGAGTACCTAGAAAAGCTACTTTGTGGATAAAGAGACTCAACTTGCATTAGAAAGACTGGGGTCACTTGTTTTCAGGGAAGGTGCCAGGCTCTAGGTCTCTGACTCTCTAGAAAATTTCTCAATATAAGTTTTTTTAAAAATTAGATTTAACATTGAATTCTTGAAGATAAATCCTTTCCGAATTTGCTTTCCATTTAGTTTTAAATTGAATATGTGCTAAACACCTCTCCCTTTTAAAGATGGCCTTTAATGAATAGTAGTAAAATAGCAAACAGGATTCAACATTAAATCATCAACTTATATCAAGTGAAGAATATAAAAATATTATATATTGTGTTAGAACAAAAAAACATCCCATGAGTAGTCAAGAAGAAAAACAGTATGGCATTACAAAATAACAATGACCTTATGTTACAATCGAAAATGTATCACTTACTGATAATGATGATGCTCCTGCAATCTGAATATCAACTAATCAACCAAGAAATGCAGCAACGAACTCAATGACAAAATATCTAGCTTTGTGAATATTATTATTACCATTGTTAACCATGATCGAATGATACGAAGTTAAAAGATTAAGATTTCAACCAGGATTTTCTGATTCCAAATTCAGTGCCCATTTTATATACCATGTTGGGTCTAAAAGAACACGCAATTGTGGCTTAAAGAAAAAAAAAATCCTTCATCATATACTCATACAATGTTAACATTTCCAACTTTACAAAAATGGAGTGTACAGACAGTTCTGTCTACATGAGAATTTTATTTATTTATTTATTTATTTATTTATTTTGCTGAAATTTTCAGTTACACGGTCTTCTGTAGAGCTCATGAGATTGGCAATGGCACTCCTGGAAACACGCAAATAACCGAAGAGAAAGTCGGCAATTTAGAGTAGGAAAGAAAAAACGGAATGCCTAACCCACCAGCACATACTAACCCAACGAGGTGGAGATTATCTTAATCTTTCTAAATGGCAGAAAAATACATGTCTAATCTTACAAATGATAGAACTAATAAAAGGAGCACTAAATTGTGGCTGTACTTCAAAATGAATGCAATATATAAGATAACAAAGGGAGGGTATAGTAAAAACAGCTATTCTGTGGAAGAAATTATTAATGGCAGACACTCCCCACCACATCCCCAACAAATTCCTTCTTTGGCAAATTCTTTTCAGGTGTAAACAAAGTGACTTTCCTGTAACTGCCAGCTCGCCAAACTCCATGTTGCCCTCAATAAAGCAAAAGTGGTGCATGTGAAATAAGATTTTCCACTCTCAGGTAAGCTACCTTCCTTCAAAGCCTACACCAGAGATGATATTTAAGTGACTAGTTGGACAGCGAAGTTTCCACATAACCAGTTCGTCTAGCGCTATTCACCTCTCTCCCCAGAGTCCATCAACTTCATAGAGTAGAGAAGGCAATGGAGGAACCTCCCAGAAAATATCGTTAAGAGAATCTACACTCACTTCAACTTCCTACACTCACTTCAACTTCCTACACTCACTTCAACTTCCTACACTCACTTCAACTTTCACTCTGAAACCTTTCATTCTGAAAACTTTCATTCTGAAACCTTTCTAATGTTGTAACAAAGAGGGGTTTTTGTTTCTATTTTCTTTTAAAAACATAAACCCACAAGGATAAGAAGAGCAATGAAGTTTTGGAAGCTGGAAAGAAACAACCCTTAGAAAGATGGTCACTTGATTTACTAGAAAAATAACACTCAGAGTGGAGAAAGGATGGTCTTTTCCATAAATGATGCTGGATCAATTGTATATCCATATGAAAGAAAATAAACTTGTATCCTACCTCATCACATACTCAAAAACCAATTCCAGATAGACTGATGATAAAGATGTAAAGATAAAATAATACAAATCTTTTCTAGAATACATAGTAGAATATCTTCTCAACCTTGGAACAAGCAAAGATTTCTTAAATGGCAGGGGAAAAAAAGCTGGATCATACAGAAAAAGACAATAACATAGAATCTATTAAAATTAAGAACTTCTATTCACCAAAAGACCCTATTAATTGGACTTCATCAACATTTATAACTTCTTTAAAATCAAAATTAAAAACTCTGCTGTTAGAAAGACACTATTAAAGAAATGAAGCACTGGCCAGGCGTGGTGGCTCACGCCTGTAATCCCAGCACTTTGGGAGGCCAAGGCAGGCAGATCATGAGGTCAGGAGTTTGAGAGCAGCCTGGCCAACATGGTGAAACCCCATCTCTACTAAAAATACAAAAATTAGCTGGATATGGTAGTGGGCACCTATAATCCCAGCTACTCAGGAGGCTGAGGCAAGAGAATTGCTTGAATCTGGGAGATGGAGGTTGCAGTGAGCTGAGATCGCGCCACTGCACTACAGCCTGGGCAACAGAGCGAGACTCCATCAAAAACAAAAACAAAAACCAAAAAAAAGGAAGGAAGGAAGGAAGGGAGGGAGGGAGGGAGGGAGACCAGGGGGAGATATTCATAATATATACATCTGACAAAGGGCCTGTATCCAGAATGTATATAAAGAGCTCCTACAGCTTAATAATGAAACAACCCTTAGTTTTTTAAAATGTACCTAACACCAAATCAGACACTTCACAAAAGAAAACATATGAATGTTCAACAAGCACTAGAAAAGATGCTCAACATGATTAATAATTGGAAGAAGGCAAAGTGAAACCAAATGAGATTCACCACACACCTTACTAGAATGGTGAAATTTTCATTTAAAAAAGACCAACAGTAGCAAGTATTGGCAAAGATGTACAGTAACTGGATCTCTCACAGATTGTAAAAAAGAGTGTAAAACAGTACACACATTTTGGAAAACACTTTTGTAGTTGAACATTCACTTACCAGATGACCCAATAATTCCACTCTTAGAAGAAGCTGTCACAAAGCTTGGCTTGTTAATAATCAGCCTTGTGGCCGCTTTCTGACTTGGGCGGTGAAACCCAGCCCCAAGTAATTGTGGTCGGGTGACGGGATGTAACTGCCAGAAGTCAGGGGGTAGCGATTATCATAATGACCATCGAGACCAGAGTGCCGGCCAAGGAAGCTCAACTGGCAGAGGGCTGTGGAGACAGTTAATGGAGATGGTATTCCAAGCGGCGAAACAGACAGGCATGCAAGGAGAGTACTGCCTGCCTGACACATGCACACAGGCATGCAAACATACATAGCACACATACATATTAAAAAGAAAACAAGAATGAATGAGCGGAAGGCTGAGGGAAGTCACCCCACTCACAGTCATGATCCCTTACCCAGCTCCAGATTGGAGCCAGCTTCAGAGCTGGAACTCACTGACTATAAAGATGGTCTGATTCCCCACGAGTTAGGAACCTGCAACCCTAGGGCAGGTGTACACTGCAACAATTACCCCAGTCTGTACCAAAGGGACCCACTGCCATTTCCTGAATGCCATTCCCTGGGCAAAGGGTAATTCCCACACATTTCCAGGTCTGCTGAACACAAAGACACGCACAGAGGCCCAGCAACCCAAAGTGTCCCAGTGTCCTCTGGCCTGAGTGGGGCATGGGGACACCAGATAATAAGTAAAGTCCTAGGCAAAGCCTGGCTTACCGCAGATCCGTTGGGTCTATGGATGCACCCAGTGGGCAATTCCAGGGTCTGTTAAGGTCAAATAGGATTGACATACTGGGCAGTTTATGACAAGTCCATATTGGGTCTGTGGCCCGTGGAGTTAATGGGAAGGTCACATAGAAGCCTCTGAAACTGCGCTCCCCATCCCATCAAAGAGTGGTAGAGATCTGTGCTTACTTTAAGGATCAAGGATATGAAGTGGGTGTGGCTTTGCTGAATTCACCACTGGCTTCTGCAGAAAGCCAATGGGCCCTGGAGAATGACTGTGGATGACTCTCAGCTCAGCAAAGCAGGAGCCTGCTCAGATCCACAGTGCCAGCCATGGAGTCTTGTTTGTTAGAGCAGATTCCCAGGCCCTTAGGCACATGATGTGTGCACACGGACCACCAAATGCATCCTGTCCTATCCCAATGAAGAAAGAAGATGAGAAAACCATCCGCATTCACGAGCAAAGGAAAACAGTATACACTCTTGCCACAGAGCTGTGCTGGTCTCCCATTTTCTACCATAATATAGTTCAAAGAGGTCTGGGCAGCCCAGAGAACATCACACGGACCCACTGCATTCATGACATCACAGTGACGAGGTAGGAGGAGCATGCAGAAGACCTTGGCAAGACGGCAGGAGACACAGGCTATGGTGATTCCAGGACCTGTTACTTCTGCTG